CAAGGGACATGTGGGAAAGTATCAGCAGACCAACATAGTATTGTGAGTGTCTCAGAAGAAGAAGAGAGAAAGGGCAGAGAGAATATTTGAAAAAATAATAGCTGAAAACTTTCCAAATTTCATGGAAGACATGAATATAAATATCCAAGAATTTTAATGAAATCTCAGTAGGATGAACTCAAAGAGACCCACATCAAGACACATTATAGTCAACCTAATGATAGCCAAAAATAGAGAGAACATTGAAAGCAGCAAGAGAGAAGCAACTCATCACATACAAGGATCTTCAATAAGATTGTCAGCAGATTTCTCATTAGAAACTTTGGGGATACAAAGATAATGGGCTGATAAAAAAAAACAGTTAATTTTATATCTGGCAAAACTGTCCTTTAAAAGTGAGGGAGAATGTAAAACATTCTCAGATAAACAAAAGCTGAGGGAGTTCATTACTGCTAGACCTGCCCCTCAAGAAATGCTAAAAGGAGTCACAGATAGAAATAAAAGGACACTAGACAGTACCTTGAAGCCATATGAAGAAATAAAGATCTCAAAAAAGTAAACACATGGGCAATTATTAAAGCTAGTATTATTGCAACTTTGGCCTGTAATTCTACTTTTTTTCTACATAATTTAAGAGACTGATACATTTAAAAACACAATTATTAATCTAAAAGCTAGAATTATTGTAACATTGGTTTGTAACCCCACATTTTGTTTTCTACACAATTTAAGAGACTAATGCATTAAAACCAATTAGTAATCTATGTTTTAGATGCATAATGCAAAAAATGTAATTTCGTGACATCAATAATTGAAAGCGATAGAGACAGAGCTATATGGCAGCAGAGTTTTTGTATGTTATTGAAGTTATTGGAAGTATGTTATTGAAGCTGTTATAAATTTAATTAGATTGATATAACTTTAGGATTTTAAGTGTAATTCCCATAGCAACCACAAAGAAAATAGCTATAGAATATATGCAAAGGGAAATAAGGGAATTAAAGTATTTCACTACAAAAAAAAAATCAACTAAATGCAAAAGAAGACAGTAATGCTAGGAATGGGGAACCAAAAAAGCTATAAAGTATAAAGCAAATAGCAAAATGCCAGTCCCTTTTTATCAGCAATTACTTTAAATGTTAGCGGTTTAATCTTTCCAGTCAAAAAAAAAAAAACAAAAAAACAGAGATTGGAAGAATAAATAAAAAACATGATCCAGCCAAATGCTATCTACAAGAGACTCACTTTATGTCCAAAGACATGAACAGAATAAAAGTGAAAAGATGAAAAAGGTATTCCATGAAAATACTAACTGAAAGAGAGCAGGAGTAGCTTAGTATTAAACAAAATAAACATTAAATCAAAAATGCTTACAAGATACAAAGAAGAACATTACATATTAATAAAATGGTCAATACAGCAAGAAGATATAACAATTACAAACATTTACTCACCTAACAAACTCTCAAAAATATATAAAGCAAAAGTGGGCAGAATTAAAGGGAGAAATAGACAATTTACAATAATAGTTGGTGACTTCTATACCCCACTTTCAGTAATGGATAGAACAGCCAGACAGAAAACAAGTAAGGAAATAGAGAACTTGAACAACTCAATAAACCAACTAGATCTAGTTAACAAATATGGACACTCTACCCAACAACATCAGAATGTACATTTTTTTCAAGTGCACATGGGACATTCTCCAGGGTAGACCACATGTTAAGCCACAAGTCGCAATAATTTTAAAAGGAAGATATCATACAAAATGCCTTTTTCAACCACAATGGGATGAAGATAGAAATCAATAACAGAAGGAAAACTGAAATTTCACAAATTTGTGGAAATACGTTCTTAAACTACCAATGGGTCAATGTATTAGTTTAGGCTGCCATAACAAAATACAATAGACAGTGGATTAAGCGACAGATATGTCTCCAGTTCTGGAGGCTGGAAAGTCCAAAATCAAGGTGCCAGTCAATTTAATTCCTAGTGAAGACCCACTTCCTGGCTTGCAGATGACCACTTTCCTTCTTAGTCCTCACATGGCAGAGAGTTCAGGTTTCTCTTTCTCTTCTTATAAGGACACTAATCCCATCATGGGGACCCCAACCTCATGACCTCATCTAAACCTGATTGCCTCCCAAAGGCCCCACCTGCAATGGGAGTTAGAGCTTCAACATGTGAATTTGAGGGTGGGGGGATACATTCAGTTCATAAAATTCTGCCCCGGCCCCCCTAAAATTGTGAATATATATGCAAAATATATTTATTCCATCCCCAAAGTCCCAACCAATTCCAGCACCAACTCTAAAATCTAAAAGTCTCATCTAAATAATCTATCAGGTATGGGTGAGACACCCTCAAGGTATGATTCATCTTAAGGCAAAACTCCTCTCTGAGTACGAACCTGTGAAACCAGAGAAGTTATGTGCTTCAAAATATTGTTATGGGAAAGGCTAGGTACACATTCCCATTCCAAAAGGGAAAAATTGGAATAAAGGGGTGATGGTGCCAAGCAAGTGCAAACCTAGCAAGACAAGTGTCATTAGATTTTAAGGCTAGGGAATAATTTTTTTTGGTTTGATGTTCTGCCCATTGAAGTGGTGGTCTTGCCTTCAAGACCCACTGGGGTGACAACCCCACCCCTGTGGCTCTGCTGGGCTGCTGGGTGGGTTGCCACCCCACAGTTCTGGGTGGCCCCACCCCCAAATCTCCAGGTGGTCACTGTCTAGCCTGTTGAAACCAAGGCAATAGTCCCCACTTTTGAAACCAGTCGTGATGATTTCTGAATTGCCTTTGGGACTATCTTCCCTTGTCTTGAAGAACAGCACACACACACAGCTAAATAGTTCTATGGTCTAGTCCTGTAGGATCTAAGAAGTCCAATAGCCTTTCTCCATTTGGTCTCAGCTCTGTCCTCTTCAGTACAAACTGACAGTGTTTTTGATGAGGTGGCTGATTAGATCTGTGGTTCCTACCTACACTAATCTCCCTATCAAAAAGTTGTTGGACCACACCCTTAGTGTTCTCTTTAAAACATGCTTTCTCGTTTTTGCAATATGTACAGACTGAGAATTTTCCCAATCTTTAAGTTCTGGTTCTTTTTTGCTTAACAATGGCTTCAATTCATTTCTCTCTTTTTGCATGTTATTATAAGCATCAGAAGGCACCAAGCCTCTTCTTCAACACTTTGCTTACCAATCTTCTCAGTAAACATGTAATTTCATCTCTCACAAGTTCTACCTTCCACAAAATGCTAGAACCTGAACATAGTTCAGCCAAGTTCTCTGCCACCTTATAATAAGAATCACCTCTTCTTTATCATCTAATAACATGTTCCTCATTCCCATCTGAGACCTCACCAGAATAGCCTTTAGTCATATTTCTACCAACATTCTGTTTATGATTATTTATGTATTCTCTAAGAAGATAGAAGCTTTTTCTATAGCTCTATTTTCTTTCTAAGCCCTCATCTGGATCACTTGTCTCTTCTGCCAGACAGAAGATAAAGAAGGAAACAGAGGACTTGAACAACACAATAAAACAGAACAACTACATCAAACAAACATATGAACACTCTACTCAACAACAGTAAAATACTTTTATAATACTTCTTCTTTTATAAGAGCACTAATCCCATCATGAGGGCCCTACTCTCATGACCTCGTCTAAACTTAATCACCTCCCAAAGACCTCACCTACAAATACCATCACCTTGGGAGTTAGAGCATCAACATATGAATATTGGGAGGAGATAAACTTTTAGTACAAAGGAGATATCATGAAGATTTTATTATTATTCATTTTCTTACCAGTGAGATCTACTATCTTGAATTTCATAGGTTTATTAAGTATTTGTCATTTTTCTTAGGTGAATAGCCACTTTACGTCATTTGCTCATTTTCCTACTGAGGTGTTCATTTTTAACTTTTTGATATGTAACATTCTGCTACAGATAGAGTAAAATTTTATAGTCTGTTTTTCTTCTGAAATTTGTTTTTTAACAGTAATTTAACATATAAATAAATTATTAATTGTGATGTTTAATTTCTATTAATAAAAAACTTAATTTTTAAATATAAGTTTTTCATTTTTTTAATGATTCTTACTTTGGTGTCATTTCTAGAAATATCTGAACAACAGCATCACAAGAATTTCGCAAGGAATGTTAGTAGTAACAATAGTAAAATTACTGATAATCGCTACCAATAATTGAGTATTTGCTATATATCAGATACTACATACATTATTCTATTTAATCATAACAACAAACCTATGAAGTAATTATTGTTCCCATTCTACAGATCAGGAAACTGAGGCTCAAGAAGACAAAGTAACTTGCTTATAGTCATGTGACTTGCAAATGTTGGAGCTGAGATTCAGTACTTTTGCTGTGCATGAACTCTGGACTTCATAAACAGATGAATGGATCTGGGACCCCTGACTCTGCTGTGCTGGCTACTAGGTGTATTATCTTGTGCGTATCCCTTTACCCCTCTGAGCCTTTATGTCACCTGTAAAACTTGCTCAATAATAAGTCCTTCATCCAGTTCTTGAGGGATTTAAATGAGAAAAAAATATGCAATGTGCCTGGCACCAAGAGACAGTCATAAAAGAGAGTTAGCCACCCTCTCTCTTAACTTTTCCCCTCCCCTCTCTTTGTTGAGGGGTAAGGTGGAAGGGAGGTGAGAGAAAGGGTAAACCAGTGCCTGCCGTGAGGTGCACAGGTGGCAATCCCAGGCCTAGCTGATCTAAGTGAGGAACAGAGTGAGGTGAAGTGCCACAACCCTGAAAGGGATCCACCCTGGGAGTGGCTCAGGTACTTCCAGCACGGAGGTATGCTTTTCTGAGTGTGGGAGGCCAGGGTGGGGCTGGATCAGAGAGATCTCTCTACAGCTAAAAAGCAGCCACTCTTGCTTGTGAGAAGAGCCCTGTTAGGTTGCTGCTGCTCATCTGCCAGCTCTTGCCCTGTTGGCCCTGACACACACGCGGAGACCATGGGAACCCTCAAGGGACACCTGCTGCCAGGGATGTTCTTCCTCTTCTTCTCACTCTACTACTCGGTGCTGACGTCCTTGGCCCTGCTACGAAGACAGAGGTTCTGCAAGCCCCCTCTGCCCCCAAGGGAGAAGCGAGGACACAGGTGGTGGCAGCTGGTACCTGTGGAAGGGGTGGTGAAAGTTGTCATCACCCTGATTGGCATCATTCCTGAGTTCTTCTACCCACCAGGAGTCAACCGGCTGAAGATGATAGACTGGGAGGACCCTCAGCGTCCGTTTCTGTTCCAAAACAACTGGCAGCATGTCACTATGTATGGGTTCTTTCTGCTCAGTGGTGTGGTGGACATTGTGAGCCAGTCATGCCAGGCACGGCAGAATATAAAGCTGGAGCGAGCAGCTGAGGCCCTGGCCTTCTGTGTGCTGGCACTGCTGATGGTAGCCCACATTGAGAACAAGAGCACCTTGGAGATTCGTGTGCATATCCTGTTCATAGTTCCTACCTTCCTGGTCAGCCTGGCGCTCGCAATCGAAGTCTGGGTCCCTGATCAGCCCCAACTCTGGGTGCTCAAGTGTTGGATGGGGCTGGTGCTCAGCAATTGGCTGCTGCAGCTCTGCGTGGTGATGTATGTTCCTCCCTCTGGGCAGCCCTGGAAAGGAGAAAACCCCGCGGACCTCGCCTTCCTCTCCATCTTCTTCTGCTGGCACCTGGGCTTAGGGGCTGCCATACTGGCCACCATTTATGGCATTTGCAGCCTATGGCATCATCACTACTCTTCCTGGAAAGAGTCCTCAGGTGCCAGTTACCACCTGTGCCCCACAGGATACAGCAGTGAAGAGTTCGAGAAACTCGGGGCAGGGGCAGAGGCAGAGCTGCAGGATGGGGGTGTCTAGGTTTAGAATCTGTCTTTGTGCTAGCCTTTTATAATGAAACTTTTGAGGATGCTCACTGTGTGCATAGCATGGAAATGTCCTAGGATCTACGATGTGTCTTTCCATCACAGGAGTCATTTTCCTTGTTCCTAAATAAAAGTTCCAGCTCCTAGGATTACTCCTATCTATCACTCTGTTCTCTCCAGGTCTGTCTCTTTCTTGTCTCACTATTTAGGATGGTTCCTGGCCATGAACTTACATTAAATGAGAACAAAGAGTAGTGCTTTTCTCTGACAGCTTTTGGAATCCAAGAGGAGAAAATGAAATGAAGTAATAGGAGATGGAGTATCACTGGGAACTCAGAGAGGGGTCTATCCATCTGAGGCAAGGCTGGCTTAGTGTGTGTATGTATGTGCCTCTAGCTGACATGCTTAAGTGCGTGGGAAAAAAAGGGGGGGTCCATTTTTGCATAATGGTGAGGGCTCCTATCTTCTTCATTTCTCTCTGTTTTTTATTTGTACTAAGTGTAGTGGCTTGAGGAACTTGTTTTGTTTTATTTTATTTAAGTTGAAACTTAATGAGGCTACTTCTGCTTTCTGAGGGAGTAAAGAATTAGGAGAAAGAGATGGCAATCAATTTAGCAGAGGCTCAAGTCTGGGGAAAAAGGAGGCAAGGGAAGAATTCTCACAAGTGGTTGTAAGAAACAAGAATTATATTTATGTAGTTTTAAATTGTTTGTTTTTACCATGATATAAAGCAACGCTATTGTCCCAACTCTTTCAGTAAAGTCTATGATACATGCATGTCTTGTGTGAGTGATTGTGGGGCAAGATCAAAGAGAAGGCCCCAATTTCAGTTGGTAGGAGCAGAGGGGAAGGAAATTCATGAGATGTGGAGTGCAAATGAGCCAAGTGGTTCTGAAGATGCAAAAATTCAGAGCTCAGAGGGACAATGAGAATGTCAGCCCCCTGGAATTCACAGAATTTTCATCTAGTCATCAAGCAGCTTCTCCTCAAATGAGAAGAGGTGATAGTAAATTCATAGACTCAGTGAATACATGAAAGCAAACTACATAAAAATCTTATCCCTGGGTAATTAGAAAGCCACTGCTTTGAATAGCATGAGTCTGCCTCTGTGAAATGGTAAACCCAGTATTTGGAAGTCTGAAGAGGCAAGAAGAAAGGAGGAAATGCTGGCCATAAATGTGGCTAAAGGACCATTGAGAAAAATCCCCACTCACGAAGCAGCTGCAATCACACTACCTCCCCTCCAGTCAGAAATGCTGTCCTCAAAGACTGAAAAGCTTCAGGAAGCATAGAGAGGCATTTGCGTTTTCAGAGTGGACAATGGGCTGCATGTTGTCATCTGAAACAACACTGGATACTCCCTAAAGAAACAATGTGCAAGAGCATGGAAAACAAACCCTGAAAACTCTGGGACGGGGGTTAAGGCAGGAAAGGAGGCAAGCCAAGGGATGGAAGTGGGGCAAGGGTCTGGCAACTCTCACTGGCAGCACTTGGAGGGGAGGGACACTCTGGACCTAGAGGAAGAGGAATGTGTCTTCCTCCAGCAGCTGGAATCAAGCCAGCCCCAGCCTTCCTCTCAGGCAAAGCAGGAACCCTTTCTGTCCCCACCCTGAAATGACCAGAAGATCCAGATTTACCCCAAAGCTAATAAGAGCCCCTCATTTTACAACACCCTTTCAAGGGCCTGGGAGGGGCCATGGAAAGGTGTTCATAGTACATATCACTGAAAAATTGCAAAAGGAAGTTATTTCTGCATTATTTTTTCTAAATAGAGATCTCCAAATTTTATAAACTTAAGATTCCACAAAATCTGGCTGTGCCCCACCCTGAAGACTTAAGACAGATTTACTTTTAGAATGCCTTATGATAAACACATCTCAGCCTGTTAGTGGAACATTCTTTACTCAAAGATAATGTTAAGGCTTTTTCTTCTTCAATTTAGAATCAAAAAGTTTAAAATGCTAATGACATCACATACTGGCTGAAAACCACCTGCTAAAGTATAGTCTCTTAGTCAACAACCATAAATAAGTGTTATCAGATCTTGACCTAATTTAATAAGGAGGAATTAGAAGTACAGAAGAATGATGGCTAGGTGGAGTAGTGGGAAATAATTTACAGAGGTGGGTCCTGTTTATCTTCATTTGTGCTGTGGGGGAGAATTTTTGTCTTGCACATCTTGCCCAGTGTATTAGTCAGGGTTCTTCAAAGAAATAGAACCAATAGGATGTGGATAGATGGAAATTTTAAGGAATTGGCTCATGAGATTGTGAGGGCTGGCAAGTCCAAAATCTGCAGGGCAGGCCAGCAGGCCAGAGACCCAGGGAGGAGTTGATGTTGCCATTTGGGTCTGAAGGTAGTCTGGAGGCAGAATTCCTTCTTCCTCAAGGCACCTCAGTCTTTTCTCTTTAGGCCTTCAAGTGATTAGATGAGGCCCCCCCAAAATATGCAGTGTAATCTGATTTACTGATTTAAATATTAATCACATCTAAAAAATACCTTCACAGCAACATCTAGTCTGGTGTTTGACCAAACAACTGAATACCATGGTGTAGCCTAGTTGACGCATAAAATTAATCATTGTACTCAGCCACCCAAATATGATTAATGTCAACTGTGTTTGTTGTGAGTTTTGGGGACCTTCCAAAATAATTATAATAACTCTATTTAAAGAAATTTTATCATTATAGGTTCTGATTACATTGTGACTATGACTATATAATGTTATATGGACTTCTTCCCTTTCCTGTTCCCTCTAGAAATAGAGAGATGGAATGATGGGAGTGCAGGTGGGTGACGGTTATTTTTAAAGATTAAAAAATAACGTTTATATGATTTGGGGGTATTATTCATGTTACACATTTTAGACATCTTAGAAAATACCAAAAAGTATTTTAAAGTATTTTGAAATCTACCATAATAGTCCTTGCCCAGAACTAATTACTTCCTGGGAGGACTAAAAGGATAGGACGTTATCTAAATCACAGAGTGAATGATAGTGTTTATCTATCAGAGATGAGACTTTTTCTGGTGATGATGACTGATGTACCTGATGATTAAGGTATGGATGACTAAAGTGGTTTGGAGGTGAAGGTCACTGAAGATGAAGAAATTCAGAACTGGGCATCTAGCATTGTGGGAAGGGACTGAGCAAGGATAATGACATGCCTGGAAAGATGGCAACCTTGCCTGGAAAAGGACTCCAGAACCCCTGTCTTTGCTGAATTTGGGCAGAGAGTTGGGGAGACAAACTAAGGCATCAAGGAAGGCCAGAAGACAGCTTTGACAGAAGAAGTGATCAAAGTTAAGCAGAAATGGTAATACCTACCCCACAGAGGTATGGTGAAAAATAAATGAGATACTGCATAAATGACACTTAATACAGAGTATGGTATACAGTGGATACTAATAAATATTAGTTTGAGAGACTGAATATACAAATGGGCAATGACCAGACTATGTATAAAAATAAAACTCTGACCCACAATCTTTAGCAACCAGTCCAAGAAACCAATTCATTATCTACAGTCACCCACCCAGGAAGCCAGCCTGCTATCTACAAGTCAGACTTGCAGAGAATCAGTTAGTAGCCTCTAATAACCAGTCCAGGAAGCCAAACAACAACCCCTGTAACAATTGACCCCAAATGGACAGGACTTGATTAGTAACTAATAGCTTCCCTCATTTTTGTCCATGCTTCCAACTTAGAACCAAACAGAGAAAGACAGCTCTACGTCCCTAACCAATCACATGGAATACTCCACTTCTAGCTAGCCAGCCTACAGCTTCCCGATGCCAACAATCTCCAATCGGGGCACATCTGAAACCTTCCCTTTTTTCCACTATGAAATTTTCCCACTTTGAGTCTTTGCCAAAAAGCAAGTAATAGTGACTGGCTCCCTTGCTATATAGCAAGCTCTGAATAGATAGCCTTTGTTTGTTCTCCTTTGGTTTGTCTTCATTTATTTCCATATGTTCAGTTCTTTCATTTATTCATTCAAATAGTTACTCAATATTTACTGAGCATTCACTATATGCCAGACTCAATGCTAGGCCCTGGAAACAATGAAGTGATCCTGCCTTCAAGCTGATTGTGGTTCAGTGGGAGAAGAAAGGTAAACAGCAAGCCAAGTGCCATCTGAAAAGGGCTGTGATTAGGGGCAGCTATGTCCGACTTGAGATCAAAAAAACACTTCCTAGAAAAGTGATGTTTCTTTTACTTAACTCAAGGGGTTCACCACTTGGGGTATTCCATTCAAGAAGGAGACATGGTTGTCATTAGGTAGTTTTATTTACTTGCGGGAAGTAAAGGAGACATGGGATTCACACCTAATGTTCTGTATCTCTAAAGGAAGGTTTAGCCGTTGCTTATATACACTATTTTGTTAATTACATGTTGATTTCTTAGTGACTCGCTAAACTTATCCTGTTGGCTCCTCAGGCTCATCAGGGTACAGCTGCCTCTGCAAAATACTGTGCTACATTTTAAGACTTAGCAAGAATAGCATTTAGTAAGAACTGCCCAGACCTTGAGAACTTTGTCCTATCTAACATCTCCATGGGGACCTAAAGGATGAGTATGGCCAGAGGGAGAGGAGTGGGGAAAATATTCGGGAGAGAGGAAAGGGCCAAGGGAAAGTCCCTAGGTCATAGCGTAAGCACAGAAGGATGTGAACAAAACAGGACAGGTGGACCTTGGTGTTTGAGCCTGGAGTTGTGAGCCATGAAGGTAGAAAGGCAGACAAGGGTCAGATTCGTTCTAGTCCACATGAAAGAATTTGGCCTTTAACCTGAAATCAATGATAATGATTAAATTTCCATTTTGGAAGCACCACTCAGGCTCGATGTGGAGTGAGGGCTGGAGAAGGGCAAACTTGGAAGCAAGGAGGCCATTTAGGAGATTAATAGGTGATGGTGGCTGGATGAGAATAAAAGTGCATAGATAAGACCAAAAAAAACGAGGACAGTTTAAGGGGCCTCTGGGACAACATCAAG